ATATATATATATACATACATATTCACACTGATTGACAAGTTAGGTTGGGTCTATGCTCTAGTGGCCTTGCAATTTCAATCATGATGAAGGGCTCAAGCTAGGGTGGAGGGCTCAAGCTAAGCAAAGTAGAGGCCTCGTGGGAAGTTAGTGCGACACCGATTGGGCTGAGAGGTGTTACGCACAGCTGTCCGAGCAGCCAGGCACAAACTCGGCGAAGTTCAGACAAAAGCACAGGAATGTCTCGCTAAGGGCGAAACCCTAAGATTTATCTAGCCATGCAAGAAATAGAGGCAGCCAAAAGCTGAGGTCTCGACACACCAGCCCGTTGATGTTGATGCTTCCTCAGCTGCCAACCCCACAGCCACAGGAAGGACGAGATGATGAGCATCAAACGAACAGACACAGCTAGTCGTGATTGAAATCTGTTGATGGGCATGGCCGCAGAAAGAGAATCTCGAGAGAGCCACCAAACTGTAAACCCGATGCCAAGCCCCAAGGTACAGCATGCTGGGATTCACTGGTCGCAGAGGGGGAGATACACAGCCCACCGGCAAGCACTTCTCATGCCCTTTTGTTTGGGTTGTTTGCGTAGCCCGGGCATGAGACACCGTTCAGGGTTCAGGCGGTTCAGGGTGTCGGACATGAGGCTAAGCGTTTAGGAAAGTCCGGAGTCCGACAACCTCAGCTTTGGAGACATTCTTGTAGGGTGAGGGAGCCTTTGAAACGAGCACATGGCCAGACTCTTCTTGCTCAGATCCCAATGCGGAGTGTGGGGTTTAGGGTTTTGGATAAAGGAGAGGACCCTTAAAAGGGACCCTTGGGGCTTAGGGTTTAGGGTTTTGGGGTTTAGGGTTTAGGGTCCCTGACTGAAGGTTTATACTGGATCAGCTGCAGCAACTGGAGTGGGGTTTGCTGGTGGTCGACGAGGTGCAGGTCATGCCAGCGCGAACCTTCAGCCGGCAGGCCGCAAAAATCGGGTTTAACTCGACTGCGAAGAAGGCAAAGTGGAGCCATGCTTATCATGTTTTTCTTTTTTATACAAGGCCATAAGGTGGGTTGTCCGGTGGCCCAGGTAGGGCAAGTTCATTGTTTTTTTTGTTCGGGGTTCCTTTTCATTGAAGCCCCTGATCTCCAAAAGCCAAGCCTTGCAATCTGATCTGAGCCTATACCCTAAACCCCCCCAAAAAGACCCTAAACCCTTTAGGGTTTAGGGTTTAGGGTTCTTTCTAAACCTCAAGAAGCGCACCGTGACACCTCGGCCCGAACTACAGTTGCCGAAGCCTCTAGGAACCGTGGCGACCATGATCAAGTCCCACTGCTGCTTGGGGCTGACAGCCACTGGGTTCTGAAGTCGCTTTGTCATTCCTGGGGAGGGTGGGTGTTCGGGTGACAATGTGTAGGGGTTTTGGTGTTCATCTTCTTGGATGGACCACTGTTTGCACTTCAAAAACGCTCAACCGCGATTCCTTCAGATTCTGCATTGGCAGGATGCCAGGCCCATGTACGTGTGCGGCTAGGGCGCTTCATCTCTTCAGCCATCATGCGTTGCTCAGTAATTGAGGCGATGAATAGATGGATAGATCTCATCAAAATTAATCTGTTTGTGCTGTGTGAAGGAGCCATCCGACAGCAAATGTCCCAAACTAATCCCTGAACCCTAAACCTGGTCAGCGAAGTGGGTGGGAAAAACCCTAAACCCTAAACCCTACCAGAGCTGCAGACTTGAGCAAGGCTGGAGTTTAGGATCTAACCTTCAATTAAGAGTGTAGGGACTAGGCTTCAGTGGTTCGAAGGCGTACGTTTTGGTTCCAAACAGGCTCTTAAGCTTTACCCTAAGGGTCCATGTACCCAAATAGTGTATACTTCGGCCCCAAAGTACTCATATAGGGACTACTTTAAGGCCAAAGTATATACTATTTGGGTACATGGACCCTTAGGGTTAGAGATCTTGGAGACTGATCGTAACCTTTTGCTTTGCGCTTCTCTGCACCTCTAGCTCGCAACGCCGCATTCAAGCGAAGACATTGAAGGCTCTTGTCTTCTTCCATGGACGCCGCTTGAAACCAAAGCATATTCCTTGCTTTCTGGGCATAGGAGACTCTTAGGCGCAAGCGCAGACACAGGGAGCAACAGAGATGCACAGAGCCCTCGGATAAGTCGAAAGGCTACATTGGTGCGAGAGGACGACTTGATCCAAGACTTGCACTGGCATCTGTGCAGCACTGGGAAGCTATGGCAAAGTTGACTTAAGTCAGAGTCGATGGTTTAGAAGATAGCGTCCTGGCATAGTCAAGCATGACGGTTTGGAAACTAGTGCAGTGGGCCGTCTGCCACAAGCTGGAATGGACCCTAAACCTTGAACGCCATACTTCTCGGGATCAGGGTCCGACGGTTTCTTTTCTTTTCGGGGACGGGCGGGCAAGGGGGCTTCTCTGGAGAAGTCTGAAACAACGGAATGTAATTTGGATATGGTGTTCCATATAGTGTTTCTCAATAATAACATAGCTTACTACAATGTGTGGCAAGACCTGAGCTGCTGTTAAGCATTTGAAGGGCTTCTGTATTCGGTGCGAACTTCCATCGGTTGATGAGAGCACTTATGGTATAAGATCAGTTCCTGTGGACAATACTTGTGGCCCCTACACATCGCTTTTCGCAAAGCTAATCACCAACACGAAGGGGGCTCTTAGGACAATCGAAGCAGTAGGTGAAACTCCCGCCCGGATAAGGAAGAAGACAGTCCTTTACCGTAACCCACGAGTAACCCCCAGTTCCCGAACCCTCCGCACGGAGCAGCTCAACCTCCGAATCCTCAACCCTTAGCCCTGAACGGCTTAACACTAGTTTCAGCAGCCCTCCGCCCCTAAGCGCGACAGTCCTGAACCCTTTCTGCTCAGAAGGCTGAACCTACGAAAGAAGCCTTCAAGCCTGAAGCCTAACCCCTCTCATCTTGCAAGTCCGAGTGCAAGAGCCCAAAACCAGAAACCGTAGGCCTAAAGTCAGAAACTCTAAAGCCAAAACCCTATGCCAGAACATAGTTGCTTGAACCAGACAAGCTTGAACCCTCAACTCGAAACTTCTCGCCTGGATTGTCCGAGTTGCGAGCCTCCGAAACTCGAAACTCTGACAACGACCAAAGCAGAAGAGACCCCAACTCCTCAAACCCGACACTATGCACCCTTAGGGTTTAGGGTTTAGGGGACCCTAAACAGGCTTTCCACTTGGGCGAGTGGAAAGCCTGTTGCAAAAACGGGACCCTAAACCCCAAGGCTTACACACCCCTGAACCCTTCAAACCCCCCAAACGCCAAGCGTTGATCGCAAACCCTTAGCCCAGAATTCCAAACTGGAAGAAAAGGAGCAATAAACTCTTTCAAAAGAACGACATCAGAAGAACACAGATAAAAAAAAAAAACAGAACACATACAGGAATGCATGCATACACACACACGCATCTACACACATATATATATATATACACACATACACATAGATGCATACATTCATACACTCATACATTCAGACATAAGTACGCCCTACCTGCATACCTACGTACCTACCTACGTACATACCTACCCACCCACCCACCCACCCACCCACCCACCCACCAACCCACCCACCCACCCACCCACCCACCCACCCACTCACTGACCTACCTACCTACCCACCCACCCACCTACCCACCCACCCACCCACGCACCGACCGACCTACCTGCCTCCTGCCTACCTGCCTTCTTGCCTACCTACCTGCCTGCCTACCCTTTCATGTGCTAAAGACTAGCAGTGCTCATTATCAGCATCGAAATTAGTCTGGTTATCGTCCGTTTGCTGATACTGAAATTATTGAATGGTATAAGTATATCTATGTATATGTACACATAAACATACATACATACATATATATATATGATATATATATATAGTATGTAGAAATGGAACACAGGCAGTGTGCCCCGGAACCCTCAGCCGAGGCTCATTGGACCGAAGCTGTACGAGGCCAACTGGCAACAGTTGCAGGCCATGGGTCGGCTGTTTAGGGTTAAGGGTTGAGGGTTCAAGGTTTTGGGGTTAGGGTTTAGGATTTAGGGCAGTTTAGGGTTTAGGGTTTAGGGCAGTTTAGGGTCAAGGGTTGAGGGTTCAAGGTTTTGGGTTTTGGGTTCGGGTTTAGGGTTGAAGGTTTGGGGCTCTCTTAGTATAGGGTTGAGGGAGTCAGGGTAGAGGATTTAGGAGTGGGCTGGCTATCCCCTCTACTATATACCGGGGGTTCGAGGGATTTGGGGGAAGGGAGTTAGGTCCATTTAGGTGTGGGTGGGGCAATGTGCGATGTCTTGTAGGGTTGTTGTGTTGAAATCATTGTTCGGGTTCTGTAGGGGTATGTAGGAGATGGGGTCTTTTAGGGCTCACGCAGGAATCTGGGAGGCTGCTGTGTATTTTATTGCTTTGGCATGTAATGAACTTCTTTGATTGAACTGTTTGTAAGATCCTGAAGAAGTTTCGATTGGGGTAGCTTGGAGTCTTTGTTGTGACTTAAGCTGGAGAGAGTTGTAAGGTTCGGGGTTCCTGTTAGAGCAGTTTAGCATCCAGGGTCTAGGGCGTTTTTGTGGGTATAGTATAGGGTTACCACGTTTCAGGACTCACTTGAAGGCTCGTGGGTAGTTATTTAGGCAAGTTTGCCCATACATAGGAGCTGAGGCAGGACTGTGGCTTGAAAAAACTGTTTCCAGAACTGCTAAGCTTACTAGACGTGCCCATGAACTTCAACTATGGGAGGGAGAATTGACCAGGGGCTTTTTAATTCAGGTTTATGGCTTCGGGGGCTAGGGTGCAGGATTTGTCTTTCGAGGGCTTGGGTCTTATGTTTTCGACATTTGATGCTTGGTTTTGAGATATAAGGGTTCGGGACATAGGATATAATAGGAAGGTGCAGTTGTTGTTCGGGCTTTTGTGTCTGGGCTTTACGGCGTGGTGAGTGCGAACTTCTTGGCGAACTGGGTGAGGGGGCTGTTGCTTGCACCTTTCTGGTCGACCGGATTGTGGTTCGTTTTGCAGATTTGCGGCGGGGGGGAGGAATTTGCCCTTGCGTTGCCTTCATCTCTTCAAAGTCTGGCGGTTTCGTACAGCAAAAAGTATTTCGAGAATTACCATCACCGCATTCATATTGCGCTGGCTGGTGGTGTATTTATTTTTGGCTTGCTCCGGTATCTCCCTGCCTTTTCTCATTTCGCTTTCCTGATTCCCTGAAGCCACATTTTAGGTATTTCGACAGCTATCCATATTGCCAGGACGAAGGGTACTTGGCTCGGGTCCGCTGCATCGAAGTCTGGTGCGACATGTCCACGGAATTCTTCACTGAGCAGCTTGCCAATCAAGAGGTGCGAGGTGCCACGTCCGCTTTTTTGTGAGCGTGTTCAAATCTACAGGTGATTCCAACAGCCAAGGACAGACCTTAGGGAAGATCACCGTTAGCAAGGGCATGTTCGTACACATGTCTCGCTTGAAATCGAAGGATCGATTTCTGCTTACATTGCATGAAGCAGGTCACTCAAGCAGGTCGTAGGACTTACAGAGACCAAGTTTTCTGCTTTGGGGTTAAGGAATTCGTTTGAGGGTTTGTCTTTGTTTTGCACGAAAGGCTTAACTATCGCACTAAACACCTTTACATGTCGGCCACTCGCCTGCTCCAGAAGATTCGTTGAAAGACTTGACATCCGGCCCTGAACCTTGAAGCTTAAAGCGCCTCCCGTGGCGTCATGAGGCCAAATGTTGAGAACGAGTCACCGTCTATTGCAAGGGTAGCAAGTATCTTGAGACTCTTGATGGTATGAGGAACGGGATTACATGCTCTGAGGCTGTAGCGGTTTGGCATATGTTTCATTTCGGTATCTCACAACCCCGAAACCCCCACACCATGGATCCTTAAACCTGAAACTTTACAGCCCTCAAGCCCCATATCCTAAAGCCCTAAGGCCCTCGTTTCCTCGTTTCCTCCATCGAACCCTCAGGTACTTGCAGGCTGCAGACAGCCCAGATGTGCCAGGCAGGTTTAGCTTCTATGACAAGTGAAGCATAAGAACTGTTATAGTTATAGGGTTTGGTTTGGGTTCATCTTGCAGCTTATATGAGGCCATATGTTACAATAGGGTCTCTAGGGAGCCTTAGGACAACATCATGCATGGTGTGCCCGATCTGAGAGCCATTGCTGTCGCAAACGAGCCGCAACTTCCATCATTGGTTCTTCGTTTTTGTTTGTTCAATCGTGGCGTCCATAAAACCCTATGTGAAAACCTCCTTTTTCCAGCTGCAGAGGGCAAAGCGTGACGGACCAGGAACCAGCAGCCAACGTCTCAGCTCATATTCCCTAGGGCTCCGGCAACCTTCTGAGCTCAACCCAGCTCCAAGAGCCAAAAGCTTGAAGAATTTGAAGTCTGAACCCGAAACATGAAACGATCTAGAAGAAAAGGGCCCGGGGGGGGAAGCCCTTACAAGACTTCGAGGATAGACCTAAACCGCAAAGCCTCGCAGCGCGAATCATTTCCAACACCCTCAATCTCGAAGATAACACGCTGAAGGTTCAGGGCTTTGATAGTCCATCCCTGTGCCTAGGGCTCCGGCTGCCTAACTTGTAGGGTTACTCAAGTTAAGCAATATATACAATTTATGTTGGCTTTGCGGCTGCTCAGTGGGAGCACGTAGAGTGAAAGTGGGCCGAAGGCGATGGCAACCATTTACCTCGAAGGGCCCAGCGAGAAGCCCAAGAAGAACAGAGACGAGAAAGAGAGAGGAAGAGAAGGGGCAGGGAAAGGCTTCCTTGCGATTGCTCAGCGCTCAGTAAAGGAAAGCAGAAACCAAAGATAGTTTACAACATGTGCAAAGTGACAGGGTTCCGAAGAACGACAACCAGGTAACCTCGCAGTACATATTGTATTGAGCCAACTGATGGCCCAGTGAGACCGCATCTGTATCTGTACAATATGTTTATATGCAAGCGCACAAAAACACACATACACACACACACACACACCTCCAGATAGACATAGAGAGAGGGAGAGAGAAAGACCGATAGACAGATATGCATATCTATATATATACACATAAGTTACATACGTTTTTCACACATACATACATACATACA